TGCACATGTGTGTATGTGTGTTTATTCTGGGTTTGTTGAACTACATGAGCGTATAGTTACATTTTTCAGTCGTTTGTAACAGCTACCATAGAATTAATACTTACCTGTTGGCCAGTCACTGTTGTAAAAGCTTGACTAAGCTTGACATAGTTTGATCTCAGAATGACCTGATACTGTTTGTCTCAGTTACCTATTGTTGCTAACAAATCAGTCCCAAGGTTAGCGGCTTAAACAGCAACACTTCTGTTACTATTTTTCGTGACCCTGGGGCTCAGCTGTTTTCACGCGGGGTCACTCGTGTGGCTGTGGCCAGGTGGCATCTGAGGCTGGAGTATGAGAGCTTCATTTGCATGGCTGCTGCCTTGGCAGGACTGGCTGGAAGGCTAGGCTCAGCTGGGACGGCTGGGCCTCTCTCTTCACGTGGCCACTCCATGGGGTGCCTCTAACAGGTTGGCTAGACTTCTCTCATGTGGGCTCTGGGCTCCGCAAAGTGCAAAAGCTACCAGGGCTCCTTAAGCCCATACCTGGCACAGGGTCACTTCCATTGCACGCTGCTGATTAAAGGGAGTCACAGGCCAGTTCAATATGGGAAGGAGATCGGGTGTGGCTCACTAGGGGCTGTCTTTGAAGACCAGCCGTGAAACAATTACTCCTCTCATCTTGCACGGAGAGAAGCAAAGGCTCAGAGAGGTGAAGTAACTTGCCCAGGAGTGTCTGACCCGTACTGCCTCCTGGGAGTGGATTCTTTACTGGCTGACACTTTAAGAACAAGGAATACGAACGAGTACTTTTACTGTGCGTCATACTATTTATTGTTAGTATAATTTTCAAGAAGGGCTGAATCGATTTCTTAACATGCCTGACAGAGTCTCAGGGTTACCAAGACTCCCCAGTCTCTCCAGATGAGCTTCTAGTGCTGCAAATGCTTTCTTTCCAGAATCTCAGTAAAGTCACCCCCCTCTTTCTTCCTTGACAGGGAAGAACTATTTCATAGTAAGAATGGAGCCTGCAAAAGTGCCAAGAAGATCCTCATTGTCATCACAGATGGGCAAAAATATAAAGACCCCCTGGAGTACAGTGATGTCATCCCCCAGGCAGAGAAAGCCAGCATCATCCGCTATGCCACTGGGGTTCATCCCCTTCCTCGTGGCTCCCCCCAACTCAGCCTGCGACTCACCCAGACAGAAGGGCTGGAAGGTTCCTCCTCCTCAGCTGCCTCTCTGCTACAGGTGGGAGATGCTTCCAGGAACCCACTGCCAGGCAGGAGCTGAACATCACTGGCTCAGCGCCTTCAAAGGACCATGAATTCAAGGTGGACAACTTTGCAGCCCTCGGCAGCATCCAGAAGCGGCTGCAGGAAAAGATCTTTGCAGTTGAGGGTAAGTGGGCAGTGAGGTTAGGTCTTGGAATAGAAAGGGTCCTGACTTAGTTGTCCTCCATAGGCCTGAGGATCCATCCCTACTCAGAGCTCATCCAACACTGTTCCCCAGAACCTAAGCTCCAGACCACCTCTCCTCTCTTTGCTCTGAGTCCTCATGGTCTCAAGATCTCCAGGAGCCTGAGTGACCTGTTTCCCTGCAGGAACCCAGTCGAGGACGAGTAGCTCCTTCCAGCATGAGATGTCACAAGAAGGCTTCAGTTCAGTCCTCACCACGGTGGGTGGAGCCATAGTATGCTTGATAAACGAGTCTCAGGCACCAACACTGTGCCAACCCTGGGCTGGGACCTGGGACCCAGAATAAATAAGAAAGCAGACCCTGTCCTCAAGCTCACCATCGTCCAGGAGAGACACACGGGCAGTGTATGCAGGTGCTGGAAGCACAGCCGAGAACAGGATAGCCAAGGTTCCTGCTCTCCGGGAATGCATTACTGGTGGGAAGAGATAGCAAACAACAAAGACTCTCAGATTGTGCTAAGCATTGGGGTAGAGAAAGAGAGGTGATCAGAGGAAGCCTAAGGAGTGACAGCTGAGGCTGAATGATGAGAAAGGGCTAGGCCTGGGAAAATCTGGGGAGAGATTGCTCCAGGCTGAGGAAAAAGCAAGTGCAAAGGTCCTGAGGCAGGAATAAGGTTACTGCACTAGAGAGACAGAAGGGCCAGCACAGCTGGAGCAGAGTGGGCTAGGGGCAGCATGGAAAGAGAGCCAGAGAGATGGGAAAGACCATGCAGACCAAGGAAACCACAACACGGCCTGACTTGCCAGAAAGGACATGTGTGTTCAAAATATCCAGAAGGATTTGCTTCCAAATAATTTTGAGGGTGATTGAGGGGCATGCAGAAACAGAACAAGCTTATCCATGAATTAATCCCTGATGCTAGGTCGCCGATACTTTTGGATTCAGTATACATTTCTTTCCACTTTTGTATATGTTCTAAATTATCCATAATCAAAAGTTTGAGGGGGAGAGTATAGTGCAGTGGTAGAGTGCCTGCCTAGCATGTACAAGGTCCTGGGTTCAATCCCCAGTACCTCCATTAAGAATAAATAAATAAACATAATTATCCTCCCAAACAAATACAAATTAAAAAAAAACATATCCCAAAAGTTTGAAAAGGCAATAAACAAAGTATTCAGAAGGGGAAACACTTGTCGCTTCTGGAGGGAGCCCAGGAAGACCTCACAGAGGTGACTTTGAGGTTAACTCTTCCAGAGGGAGGAGTTGAGTCCCAGAAAGAGAGGAGAGAGAAGTGTCCAGGCCAGAGGTTTGGTGTGTTTTGGAGGAGAGGATTTGGTTTGATTGGGAAGGATCCTAGATGCCACCTTCAGGGGCTTGGTGACAGGGAGCCATCTTGGTTTGCCAGCAGGGTGGTGGCTTCACATTTGGGTTTGAAGAAATCTAGCTCTGGGGCAGTAGATGAAGAAGAGGAGAGGAAGTGAGGAGGCAGAAGGGCAGCGGGTGAGGGCTGAGGCTGACTGTGACAGTGGCAGTGGGGAAGGACTGAGAGATACGGGAGTCAGGGACACGGAAGCTGCGGTGAGAGCCTGGGAAGAGGAACTCCAAATGGCGAGTGGAGCCAGCGGCAGGCAGTGCTTCTCCTTCCCACCTGCTCAGCCCTGGAATCTCTCCTCCCAGGATGGACCAGTTCTGGGGACTGTGGGGAGCTTCAGCTGGTCTGGAGGGGCCTTCCTGTACCCCCCCAAAATGAGCCCCGCCTTCATCAACATGTCCCAGGAGAACGTGGACATGAAGAACTCTTACCTGGGTGAGACGGGGCTGCGGCTGGAGGGTCAGGCAGGGCTGCTGGGGAGGGCAGGCCCTGGGGGCGGGAGGGGAAGCCTTTGTGCTGAGGCCTGGTCCCCTCAGGTTACTCCACTGAGCTGGCCCTTTGGAAGGGGCTACAGAACCTGGTCCTGGGGGCCCCCCGCCATCAGCATACCGGGAAGGTTGTCCTCTTCACCCAGGTGTCCAGGCAGTGGAGG